AAGGTTTGTCTTCAGTCCATCATGACTGATTGGAATACCTAAAATGGGGCTAGAACTTGCCCAGTGAAGGAGGATTCCTACAGAGCCTTTATATTGCCTAAGATCATAAGTGGACTCCTGATCCTCATCCAGAACCTTTTTGAGGTGGGAAACTTCCACTGAAAGGACAAGTCTGGAATGGCTAGAAGAATAGAAGATACTTCTTGAAAGAAAGACCAGCAGGAAAAATAAAAACAAGAACAGTAGTCTGATTGACTACTACAAGAACAAGCAAGTAGTTTGCTTGGGAGCCATCAAGGCAAATGATCAGGTCCCCCTCAAGGCAAAACCCCTTCCAAGACTAATACTCAAGGGGAATACACAAGCAAGCATGTGGTCTTGCTGCTGAGCATGTTCACCGATAAGGGGAACTGGGGGGGAAAACAGCAATGAATTTGTGAGCTAAGTCCAATCAAGTTCAATAAACTCCTGTCAACCTGGGTTAAGACCTGGTCGACCAGCAATATGGCAAGACTTGGGACTCCTGGGCCCAGGGACAGGGACATGATCACAGAGGACTACAGTAGAGAGTGAAGCAACCAGCTGATATGAAGTGAGGGGAAGATGCACAAAAACACCTATACTTGCAGATAGTATCCACTTGACCTGGCTTCAATGGCTGGATGACCCGAACTTGACTGAAGGAAAAAAGAAGAGGAAAAAAAGAGTAATCTGCTACAATTTGATGAACTTAACCTATGCTTGTGGATGTAGTAGCTCAAAAGAGGGAACAAATCTTATAGTGAGGATCATTCCCACCTCCTCGGTACACAGGGTGGACAGGGATGGGTAACTAGGACATTGGCTACCCAAAATGGGGGAGGGGGGGTGCTACAAAGGCAAGAAGTTACTGGCTTACAAGCTTTCAAGAGGGAGCCAGTTAGAGGGCACAGGGGAAGGTAAAATCTTCACTGAGTAGTTTCCAACCTGTCTGGTGGACAGGGCTGGTGAAAGGAGATGGGATTAAGACTCTTGTGGTTCAATAGTGAATAATTTCTATCACTTTGAAATTGTGAGTGTTGCAAATGTAAAGGTAGATGTTTTAACAAAAGTAGGGGAGTGGCTGATCTTGCAGTCCAGGGATGGAGGTCCCTGGGACCATCAAATGAGACGAGCGGAGTGTGGGACCCTATCCAGACAAGAAGTGATGCCAGAGATGGAGGCAGAGACGATGAAGTGGAGAGATGGAGCGGCTGGGGACTCTAGATTCTGGGAGGGAGAGGAGCTGTGTGTTGATGGTCAGGGGGAAAGCTTGCAGTTTTGGCTGTTTCATGATGCATGCTGGAAATTGTAGTCATTGCAATGAAATAAGATAGGATGAATGTAAACCTAATGTTTTCCCATGTAAACGATCACATAATTCACAATAAAAACTTTTTTTAAAAAAAGATATCCAGTAAAAGTCTCCTTCGGAATCCCCATACAGGGATAAATGGATAAATTCTCACAATAAATGGAGAAAAAATGGAAAAGAAAGAAAGAAAGAAAAAGAATCATATACCCAGCAAAGTTGTCAAATACAATGGTGAAATCAAACCATTCCAAGATAAACAGAAATTAAGGGATTTTGTAAAAGCTAAGTTAGTGCTTCAAAACATAGTAAATTCTTTGGATTGAGAACCAACAAGGACAACAACCAGAGACTGACATTTGTGGAAACACCAACTGAAACTCAATCCAGAGATGGAAGAATCCAGAGCAGAATAAAAGATCTGGAAGGTCAGTCTATGATCAGGACAACTACAAAGAGAAAGAAGGGAAAAGTATAGTAACAGAGATCCAGGTGTTGAGTATGTCCAGTAGATTTCAGGATAAAACAGACTGTCTTAAAAAGAGGAAGAAATTAATAGAATACAGGGTGACCTCAAAGAAGCATAATACTTCAAAATATATCAAGAAAAGGAAAATCCTGAAGATTATGAAAAATTAAAATGATGAAGAAATTGACAAGTAAAAGCAGAAATAAATGAACTCAGCATAGGAAGGCATGCAGAACAAAGAAACCAGAAGCAACACACAAAAAATACAAACAGCATAATGACACAAATGAATTCACACTTATGGATAAATACCCTGAATGTCAAGGGATTAAACACACCACTCAACAGACATAGAGTGGCAAAATGGTTAAGAAAACAGGATCCTTCATTGTGCTGTCTACAAGAGACACACCTTACACACAAAGACGAAAAAAAACAGATTAAAAGTTAAAGGATAGAAAAAAAATTACCAAGAAAATAGCAATAAAAATAAGGAGTGGTAATACTAATCTCTGATAAAACAAACAAAACCAGTGTCACAGATAAAGAAGAACATTATTTCATGATGAAAGGGTCAATTGAAAATGAGGACGGAAGCATAATAAAAACTACTCTTCTGAAAAAAGAACCCCCAAACTCATAAGGCAAACCCTAATAGAATTGAAGAGAGATACAGACAAATCTACAATAATAGAGGGAGCTATTAATACACCATTGTCAAAAAAGGACAGGACAAATAGAAAGAAACTCAACAAAGACACAAAGGGACTAAGCAACACAATCAACCAACTTGACATCATAGATTTGTACAGAGTATTCAACTCAACAACAACACAATACACATTCTTTTTCAGTGCACATGGAACATTCTTCAGAAAAGATCATGTGTTAGACTGCAAAGAAAGTCTCCATAAGTTTAAAAACATCAAAGCAGTACACGGACTTGTGGGCACTTGTATGGGAACAGTACAGGCCCTGTAGTACTCAGGGCCTAGATTTCTGGGGTAGAGCTCGTACCAGGAGTGCTGTTCTGAAGGAAAATGCCTGGCTGTATCTGATCTCACCTCTCACTCTCCCCTAGGCTGCTGTTCCTGCTGTCCTGTGGGATGTGCCAAGTGTGCCATGGGCTGCATATGCAAAGGGGCATCAGACAAGTGTAGCTGTTGTGCCTGATGTGGGAGAGCCCCACCCAGACGTGATTAGAGTCACCTGTACAAAATTGGAGTTTTTTTGTGAAGAACCCTGGTCTGTGTGCTACCTCTTTTTCTGTATGAAATATCTGAGTAATAATAAATGGTGTTGGCTTTAAAAAAAAAAAATCAAATTATTGTCTCACATCACACTGCTATAAAATTAGAAATCAACAACATGAAGATCAAGGAAATAAAGTCAAATACATGGAAACTGAATAACACCCTCCTTAGAAGCTACTGAGTAGTAGAACAAATAAGTGAAAATTTAAAATTCCTAAAAAAAATTAAAATGAAGACACAACATACTAAAACCTTTGGGAAACAATAAAAGCAATGCTGAGAGGACAATTTATAGCAATAAATGAACACATACAAAAAGACAAAAGAACCAAAGCCAACATATTAACATACTATCTACAACAATTAGAAAAAGACCAGTAAAGTAAGTCTACGGTCACCAGAAGAAAAGAAACAATAAAAATGTGAGCAGAAGTAAACAAGAAGAAAACAGAAAAACTAGGAAGAATCAACAAAACAAGAAGCTGGTTCTTTGAAAGGATTAATAAAATTGACAAACCATTGTTAAATCTAACAAAGAAAATAGATAAAAGATACAAATTACAGCATAAGAAACCACACTGGTGATATCACAACAGTACCAATGGAAATAAAAAGTATAATAACAGAATACTATGAAGAATTATACTCCAGCAATTTTGAAAATTGAGAGATGGATACATTTTAAGAAAAGAACAATTTACCTAAACTTACAGAGTGAAGTAGAAAACTTGAACAGACCTATAACAAAAGAAGAAACCAAGCAGGTCATCAAAAAACTCCAAACTCCAAAGACCCAGAGCCAGTTGGCTTCACTGGTGAATTTTGCCAGACATGCAGAGAAGAGATGTCAACAATTCTACTCAAATTATTCCGGAATATAAAAAAGGATGGAAAATTTCCTAATACATTTTATGAAGCAAGCATAATCCACATACAAAACCATGGAGGGACAGTACTAAAAAAAGAAAATTGTTGACTAATATACCACATGAACATAGATGCAAAAATTCTCAACAAAATCCTTGCCAATAGAATTAAACAATATATATATAAAATAATACATCATGAACAAGCAGGATTCATACTAGGCATGCAAGAATGGTTTAATATTAGAAAAATGATTTACATAATCTACTATATAAAAAATAAAAAGTAAAATAACTACATGATCACATAGATTGACACAAAAAGGGCATTTGAAAAGATCCAACTCTCATTCCTGATAAAAACATTCAACAAAGTAGGAATTGAAGGGAAATTCCTCAGCATAATTAAAAGCATATATACAAAACCAACAGCCAACATTACTCTCAATGGAGAGAAACTGAAAATTTTGCTTTGCCAACAGAAACCAGACAAGGATGCCTTTTATTAACACTCCTATTCAATATTGTCCTAGAAGTGTTTGCCAGAGCTATAAAGCAAGAAAGAGAAATTAAAGGTGTCCAAATTGGCAAAGAAGAAGTAAAACTTTCTATCTGCAGACAATATGCTCCTATACATAGAAAATCCCAAAGCCTATACAAGAAAAAATTACTGGAACTAATTGGAAGATTATACAAAAATCAGTTGGATTCCTCTATATTAATAAAGACAGCCCTGAAAAGGAAATTAGGAAAACAATACCATTTACAATAGCTACCCAAATGATGATATATTTAGGAATAAATATAACCAGAGAAACATAAGACCTATACAAAGAAAAATACAAAACACTACTACAAGAAACCAAAAGAAATTTACAAAAATGGAAGAATGTACGTTGCTCGCACATGGATAGGAAGACTCAACATTGTGAAAATGCCAGTAATACTCAGAGAAATCTACAGATATAATGCAATCCTAATCCAGAATCCAACAACATTCTCTAAAGAAATGCAAAAATAGAGATGGTTGATGTTCAAACATTTAAAGACGTAGCATATGATCAAGAGCCAATGATGCTGGCCATCCTGGTCTCCACCCGGGTTCACAGGAGTCTATTGAATGGGGTCTGACTTAGGTCCCAACTCCATTGCTGTTTTTCCCCCTCTTCCCCTTATCAGTGACCAACATTGTCACCAGCCAGACAACATGCCTGCTCGTGTATTACCCTTGAGTCAGTCTTGGAAGGGAGTTTGCTCTGAGGGGACCCAACCACTTGCCTTGATGGCTCCTGGGCCATTATTGTTTCTGATTTTTCCTGCTGGTCTTTCTTCATGAAGTATCTTCTGTTCTAGCTGCTCCAGGCTGGTCTACTCATCCTTTCCAGTGGAAATTCCAGACAATTCTGGATGGAATTCTGGTTTCCACCAACGGTCTTATGCAATGCAAAAGCTCCATAGGAGGTCTCTTTCACTGGGCATTTTCTAGCCCCCTTTCAGGTATTCCAATTAGTTATGGGCTGAAGATGGACTTACAAGCTTTCTATCGTGATGTTTCTGGTTATTCCTTCCTCCCACTGCCCCAAGTGTCTATTTCACAATGGTAGGCAAGGGAAACCAAGATTTAAAAGACAACAAAGATCTTAACATTATTCCCCTCTTTTATCCATTCAAACCTCAATCCCTCTATCCCAGAGCCCTCTTGTTCCAAGGTTGTGCATACATCATCATTTACCTCTGTCCCACTTAGCTCATGTGAACCTGCTGAACTGTTCTCCCATCCGCCTTGTTCTTCCATTCCCCTCCCCTTTCTTTTGTCTTGCCCGCCCCCTTCCCCAGCACCCAAGCTTTCCTGTGTCTATCCCCTACCCTCTGCTCTATCTTCCCCTCCCCTCCTCACCCCTCATCCCATACATCACGGTGATCAGCAATTCCCCCCCCCTTTTTGGGTGGGTTCTTTTTATTAGTCCTTTGCAATAATGGTTCTATGCAGTATTTCTCCTTTTGTAACTGACTAATTTAACTCAGCATAATGTCCTTAAGGTTCATCCATGTTATGTAGTGGCTTGCAGCTTCCTTGTTGTTCTTCAAGGTAGCATAGTATTCCATTGTGTGTATGTACCACAGTTTGTTTATC